CCAGAAACGAAACTCCCAACCCGGTGGCGTGGAGATCCCGGTGGCGACCAGCAAGTAAGCGCAGCCAAAATGGCGCGGCGGCGCGACCACAAACACGCAGAGGTCAATCACTCGGTGTGAGTCGGCACAAGGCACCGTCAGAGACGAGCAGGACCGACAAGCACATTGGTGGCGTCACAATATGTTTGATTGTGTCTCGGAAAGCTTGACTTTGAAATGCTTGGAACACTATACTTGCATACTGATGTGTGAACCGGTTCTGCTAAAACGCGTTCGTTAGATCGTCGCGCCCGGGTCTGTGTATGATTTGACACGGCCGATGGGGCCACACGCGCGCCTCTGCGCTCGTGCGTGTGGCCCGACGAATGAACGTGAAAGATCCTCGCGCCATTGCGTCGCGTGGGAGGGTGGGATGTTTGTTTAAACATGGGGGCGGCTCGCGTGCGGATGTCAGCAGGGGTGGACTGCGCACCATATTCTGCACCACAATGCTGGTTGGACATCACATATTCCCTCTCCTACATAGGATTAGAATATGCACCCTTGCCGAGGCCAGACTTCACGGCACCTCTCCCCACAATGCCTTCTCTCATGTGTGCTGCGCTATCCCAGACCATCCCAGCGTGGCCGGCATGAGCTGGCCTGCACAGCTTCACTTGCTTGCGCTCGTTACAACATGCGTGTGTTAGACCAGGTCTTGTGCACCGCATCGTATTCTTTGACACAGGTGGCGGGGAGCTCGACTTTGAACGGCCGGGGACTATATATCCCCCAAGCAATATGTGCACATGAAGGCTCCCACTTGGGTGTATGAAGGAACTGGGCCGAGGTGTTGGCCTGGCGGCCATGTTCTCGCCATCGCTGCCCCGTCCCCGCCTCGTTGCCGCCCGTCGTCTGGGCCAGGGTGTTGGTCTGCCAGCTCCGTTTTCACCGTCGCCGCCCCGTCGCCGCCTCGTCCGGGCCTGCGGTTCGGTCTGGCGGCTGTGTTCTCGCCGTCGCCGCCGCGTCGCCGCCTCGCATGGATTTCCCTTTCTAGAAGGAATATACATTCGACCCCCTCTCCCCGTTGGACACTGCAAATGACAAACGGGCCCGCCTCATCGTTCATTCTGCGGATAAGCGCATACCATTCCAAGGTGTACCCTTGCCGCCCTCCTCATCTTGGTCAAATAATATTATCTTGCACAGTTGTGCTCTAGAGCTCGGGCCTGTTTATTTTCGCTCGTCGTCGTCCCTCCCCTCTTGGTCCTGGCCCCAGCCCCCCTCGCCCCGCTGGCCCTGGCCCTGGACCCATCCTCCCCCCCCCCGGCCCTGGCCCCAGTCCCCCTCGCCCTGGACCCTTTATTTTCGCTCGTCGTCGTCCCTGGTACGGTCCTGGCCCTGGACCCGACCTCCCCCCCTGGTCCTGGCCCCAGCCCCCCATCGCCCCGCTGGCCCTGGCCCTGGACCCAGCTCCCCCCCCCCCCGGCCCCAGTCCCCCTCGCCCTCGCCCTGGATCCTTTATTTTCGTTCGTCGTCATCCCTGGTCCGGTCCTGGCCCTGGACCCAACCTCTCCCCGTGGTCCTGGCCCCAGCCCCCCATCGCCCCGCTGGCCCTGGCCCTGGACCCAGCCTCCCCCCCTGGCTTTGGCCCCAGCCCCCCTCGCCCTGGATCCTTTATTTTCGCTCGTCGTCGTCCCTGGTACGGTCCTGGCCCTGGACCCAACCTCCCCCCCTGGTCCTGGCCCCAGCCCCCCATCGCTCCGCTGGCCCTGGCCCTGGACCCAGCCTCCCCCCCCCCGGCCCTGGCCCCAGCCCCCCTCGCCCTGGACCCTTTATTCTCTTGCACAGCTGTGCTCTAGAGCTTGGACCTCTTTATTTTCGTTCGTCGTCGTCGTTCGTTCGTTCGTCGTTCGTCCTCCCCCCGACGGCCACAAAAGTAAATTCCTGGACGAAGGAGGCGAAAACCTCCTGTCTCTAGCAGCTCCTTGGTGCAAAGGCCAGGGCACGCGTGCAACTTGTTATGCGCGAGCACGAGTTTATCAAACAAACAGCAATGTCTAAGCACCCTTCGCAAACAAATATGCACGCGCGGGCGTCGTCGCGCGCGCATGTCGAATTTCTTCGGAAAATGGCCCTGTTCGTAAGGATATCAAGATCAAGGTTCCCGGAAACGTGTACTCAGCGCGCGTGTTTCTGCGATTTCCGGAAAAAAACACCATACGTGTTGAAAACACTGTCAACTTAAACCACGAAGGCCTCCCGCGGGCGCGGCAAAATCATTCGAACGCCCTTGGGCGCTTCCTTGAGCGCGGTCCTTCCTGAAAAATACCATGCGGGCCACTCGCGCGCGTCGGCCGTGCGCGCATGTCGAAATCCATCCCGAATCCTCATCAACGACACGTGGACATCATCATCGTCATCGGCGTGACCAGCATCGGCGTCGTCACTGGCCTTGCCATCGTCATCGTCAGCGTCGTCACCATCATCGCTACTATCGTCATCGTTCCCACCGTTGACGACACCACCATGGTACCGCACCCGCGCGACTCACCGACACGCAAGGAAACGTCCGCGAGCCAGCGCAACGTGTGACACGCGCAGGGAAGTTCACACCGGTCAGCGCCACCGCGGCCGCGTCGGCCGTGCCAAATTAGTTGGACGCTCTGCGCGCGAGCTTGCGCGCGATAGCACGGCCGCAAACATGCGCCAACCATTGCCAAGCAATCGTCGCAATCACCGCCGCATGGGTTTTGCCAAACAAGGTGCGGATGGGAGGGTGGGCTGATCGCGCCAGCAGTGGAGTTTATAACTCCAGGTTCTTCAACACTTGATTGCACCGTATATAGTGCACCGCAAGGATTGCACCACGTAGGTTCTTTGGTCAAAAAAAAATTAGGATCTACCCTCCCGGGGTCAACGATACATCGCTTCGCATTGTCATCGCAATCGTCGCCAATCGCCAATCACTCATCGCAGCCGCCGTCGCATGCGTTTTGAAAAGTGGGTGGGTGAGACGTTTGCAAGAGAAGGGGTTTTCGTCAACGCTTTTAAAAACGAAAACCACGACATATATTACCCCTCGTGTATACTCCCTTATGAACAGGAATTCAGTGTCGTCACTGTTGTCCTGATCGTCACCAACGCCGCTTCTATCACCATCGCGTCTACTACTGTCGACGTTGCCATGATACCGCGCACGCCCAAGCGGCCGATTTGCATTGAAGTGCCCGGTGGGAAGTGCCCAAAGGTCAGCGCCACCGTGGCCGCGGCGGCCGCGCCAAACTAGCTGGCCGCTGCGCGCGCGAGCATGCGCGGGCTAGCGCGGCCGGAGAGATGCACCAGCCAACACCCAGCACTCATAGCAATCGCCACAGCATGCGTTTTGCTAAACACATTGCGGGCGGGTGGGTGGGATGATTGCGCGAGCAGTGGAATTGGCAATTGCGAGTTCCACAAATGAATTGCACCGCGCAGATTGCACAGTGTAGATTGCACTTTGCAGCTTGCACCACATAGGTGCCACAACGTAGAGTGCACCACAGGGATGACATAACATACATCGCACGCCACATACATTGCACAGCATAGGTCTCACAACGTAGATCACACCATATATATACCATCTATATATATATACCAGACTATATATATATATATATATCGCGCCACACAGATTGCACCATGTATATGACACCACATGATTTGCACCACGTATCCGCCACCGTGCCTGCGGCACGTTGAGGCGTGGAAGAATGCCAAGGGCTGCTGGCAGGGTGCCTGTAGTCTTCTAAGGGACCGCCGCATCCTCCTGGTCACACCCAAGGGAGTGTAGCGCCCCTACTCCTGGGGGGTCTGGGCGGCCATGGTGCCTCCCTGGGGCTCTTCAAGGCTTCCGTGACGGCCCAGGAGGCCCCCAAGACGGTCCAAGAGGGCCCCGAGTCGCCGAACTATCGGTCGAAGACGCTCAAGATGGCCTCACGATGACCCAAAAGGCCTCCAAGGCGCCCCAAGAGGCCCCTCAAGAGGGCCCCCACAGGCAAACAGTATGGATGTGTTGACAGATTGGCGTTCTCGCCTTTTCGCTTTCTTGACGCTACCAGACAGCCCAAGAGGCCCCCCAGACCACCCCAAAACAGTTCAAGAGGCATCTAAAAGGGCCCGAAGACGGCAGACGGTCTTACAGGGCCCCAAGACGGCCCAAAAAGCGCGCAAGACGGTCCAAGAGGGCCCCAAGACGGCCCCCGAAAGGGGGCCCAAAGAGGACACGAACCGATAATCCGAGCCTTCCGCCCCTAAAGACCCCCAGGAGGCCCCAAGAGGCGCCCAAGAGGCCACAGGAGGCCCCCAGAGGCCCCCAAGAGGACCCCCAAAGGCCCCAAGAGGCCCCCAAGAGGCCCAAGAGAAGCCCCCCAGCCCCCCAGAGGCCTCGCAACTGCCTCCAAGAGGCCACCGAGAGGTCTCCCACAAGATCTCCACGAACATCCAACAGGCTTGTGACGCACAACCCAAACACGGCGGCGGGACTTGGCGTAGGCAGCTGGATACTGCTCCACATGCATTGCTCATCATACATTGCTACAAACATTGTTTGGGATCCTCGTTGGGCTAACATCGTATAGATGTAGATGCATGTACATATGCACATGAATCGAACGATCTTGCATAATATCTATGACACGCTGATACACGGAGGGGAGTCGTTCACCCTGGCCTCGGTAAGGGGGCATGGCCTGCTCTCATCAGACGAAGGACTATGCAATTCACACTTAGCGACCTCGAAATCGCCAACTCGAATGCTCGAACAAATCACCCAGCCTCACACCCAAGACTTGTTGGCAAAACTCCAACGGCCTCAAGTGCAACTTCCCATTGGGAATTGTCAGCACACAACAAGATGCTTGTGTTCCGACGACTGTCCCGTGCGAGTGATACGCCCGCGCGTGCAAGCGTGTGGCGCGCTCGTTGGGCGCAGACGAGCGCCGAGCGCCTAGAAAATCTGAAAATTCATCTGGGCCAGCATGTGCGACGAGCGCTCGCCGAGACGCACGGGCAGCCAGAAAGAGCCGCGCCCTGACGGCGCATCGCTGCAGCAGGGACGAGTATCAATACAAGAAAAAAACGGCATCAACATAAACTTTTGGCGCTCTGCGCGGATTTCTGGGACCTGCGCTGGACCCCCGTCCCTGGCGCGCGGAACGCACCAGGGGCGGCGCCGGAGGCGCCGCTGGGGGGCCCAGCGCGGATCCAAGAAATCCGCGCGGTGCGCCAAAAGTTTATGTTGATGCCGTTTTTCTCTTCTAAACAGGGACGAATATCAACATCTCGTGGCGGCTCATCGTCATCAAAGCGGCTGTCGTCATCGTGGTGGCTAACCGCCACCACCAGCCGGCCGCTCGCGCGGGCGAACAGCGCACGCGCGGGGCTGCCCGGCAGGAAGCGGCGCTCGACGTCACGGGCGGAAGACTTTGAAGTGAGGCACTTCGCTGGTAGCAAAAAAAAAACACCGGCGCCGACAAGGCGGCTGAGGGAGAAGGTGCACTGCAACGACGCCGACAGCGACGAGAAGGAGATAGAAGAGCTCTGGAGTTCTAGATATCACGATTAGGCGGGTGGTGGACAAAAATGTAATTCCTGTCTCCTGGCCAGCTCAGCTTTGCCGGAAGCGCTGGGCCAAAGACCACGAGAACCTACATATAGATAATCGCTGCGACTAAATACCTGCAACCAGTCCAGGGCAGTGTGGAGGAGGAGGAGGAGGAGGAAAGGAGAACAGGAGGAGGAGGAGGATTTTCGGGGGCATGGGGTTAGTTGTCGGTGCCTGCGCACAGGTCGCACCTGCGCTCCCACGCAGCGGGGAACCAGGGCTGGCTGGTGTTGCCGATCATCACCTGGACGGTCTTCCAGAGTCGGATCGCCACGCTCTCCTGCACGTAGGGGACCCCGTGCCTCGCGCAGATGTCCCTCAGCTCGGGCTGCCCGCGGCTCAGCGAGAGCATGGACAGGTGCGGCCAGCAGTGGTGCTCTATCTGGTGGTTGGTCCAGCCGTGCAGGAAGTCGACGCCGAAACCGCCGTGGTCAAAGTTGGCGGAGCCGCAGACCGCGCGCAGGTAGAACGTGGGCGAGAACGGCTTGCACGGGTCCCGGAAGCGGTACATGTCCTCCCCACAGTGGTTCGTCGCCACGCATGCGTAGAGCAGGAAGTTGGCCAGCACGTCGGCGAGCACGAGGTTCCACTCCGCGTTCCAGAAGAGGGTCCAGGACGGGTCGATGAGGACCAAGGGCGCAGGCAACACCACGAAGCGCAGCACCAGGTACGGGAGCATGACGATGCCGAGATACTCCCAAACCGAGAACACGTTCGCGCCCTCCTTCCGGAACGCCTCCAGCAACGTCATGGGCCTGCCACGGTCGAAACCGTGCGGCAGATCCCGCCCGCTCTTCAGCCACTCCCTGACCTTGAGCTCCTTGTACGTCTGGGGCCCGATGTACCCCCACTTCCAGATGAGCAGCGTCAGAAAGGTCATGACGTATTTCTTGGGGCGGCCCTCCCAGAGGCGAGTGACGTTCGGGATGACATCCGGGTCCTTGTCCTCCCCCAGGTGGAAGTGGTGGAGGTCGTGCTCGCAGCCCCACGCTTCAGGCAGGAACCAGTCGAACCAGTCCCCAACTCGCCTCATGAGGCTCCCGCTGCCAAACTCGCTGCGGTGGTAGCGCCCCGAGGGGTCTATGCGATTGTGCCCGCCGTGGAGGGAATGGTGGCCGACCATGGTGAAGCGCGTGTGGGTCCAGAAGCCGATGGCCAAGACCGTGAGGGGATTCGGCGCCAGCCACATGGAGCCCAGCCCCGCGAGCCCCAGCAGGTCGCTGCAGAGGACCACCAGGTGCAGGTGCTCCAGGTGCGCCTCTCCGGCGTCCCTCTCCTCGGCCAGCAGCCGCCGCCCCAGCGCGTGCACCTCCTCCGCGAAGGCCTCCGCGTCCACCTCGGCGACCCAGCGGTCGCGCGCGGGCAGCATGGCCTCCTCGCCGCCCCGCGCGCGACGGGGCGCTCCGCCGCGCAGCGCGGCCCCCGCCGCGCCCGCCGCCAGCCCCAGCGCGCTGGAAGCCGCCGCGCGGCGGCCGGCGGGGCCGCGCCGCCGCGCGCCGGCAACCTCGGCGGCGCCGGGGCGGCGGGCCGGCAGCGCCCGGCTGCGGCTGCGCCGCCCGAGGGAGCAGCCGGCGCTCGCCGCGCGGAGCGGCAGGGCCGGCAGCATGGGCGGCGGCTGCGCCACAGGCCGCCGCCACGCCACGAGCGGGCGCAGCGCGCCGCGAGGGGGGCGCGGCAGCGTGCCCGGGGCACGCACCAGCCCCCGCCCCCGCGCGCGAGGCACGCGCGGCCCCCGAGGAGCCGCTGCAGAAGGCAGCTTGAGCCCGAATGGCCACGGAGCACACCAGAGGATGCAGGGACGCGCAAGACCTTCTGATGCAGATCTAGAACTCGGGCGGACGAGTGACGATGACGACGGCAATGACGGCGACGACGATGATGAGGATAATGGGTGATGGTGGTGGCGATGACGACGAGGGCGACAACAACGACCATGGCGATGACGATGGGGATGACGAAGAAATGGGCAACAGTGGGGGAATCAACAGTAATTCTTCTTCAGAGGTGGGAATTCAAGAACAACAGCGACAATACGCACCACGGAATCCCACTTCAGCTACGCACTCAGAGACAACGTTAGATCGCTCAGCACCCTCAGTGTGATCTACCAGTGTCAACTACAACAGGCGTGGAATTGAAGGCGCGAAGGCGGAACTAAAAGAGGAGGAACGTCAATAAGGAGTTCACCGGTCCACCGTTCTAAATCGAATGACTTATATGCTCCTACTGTGTGTGCAACTCTAGAGTAGATGTCATGTTCGTTACCATGCCGATGGCTTGTTGCTACGCTCCCTGTTATACGATCTATGTGCGCAGACACACGTGTACACGTATGTGTACACATACATATATACACATATATGATCGACATGTGTGTGTGTGTGGGCGTTAACAAATATGTTTGCAAACACATATGCAATACTATTGCTGCGCTGTTCTTAAGTCCTCCGCGTCCTCCATTTCCTTATCCTCTCATGTCTGTTCTCTCTCTCTCTCTCTCTCTCCACTTTTCTCTGCGGCAGTCCCCTTCGCACCCCCCTCTCCCTGACTCTCAGATTATCTCACCTCCTCCTCCTGCTCCTCCTCCTCCTCTGTCTCCTCATGTCCTCTGCTCCCCCCTGTACTCCTCTGATGTGATATCATATCAATCTCTCCGTTCTCCTACCCTACCCTCTATCATCTCCTCAGCCCTCCCAGGCTGCTTCGGTCCAGCCTCCTCTATCATCTCCCCGCTTTCCTCTCTAATCATTTCTCATCTCATCTTCACTCCCGTCCTGCCCCTTCTCACCGCTCCTCTGCACTCCCCTCATTTTCCCTCCTCTCCTCTCCCAACCCTTCTTCCTCGCATCCCCAACCCCTTCTCGTCATCTGTCCCTGTCCCGTGACCCTCACAAGTTCCCCGCCCATTACCTTTCTGCCCCATCCTCTCATCTATATGTATGTTGTACTCGCCTCCCCTTTCTCCTCTACGTCTGACTACCGTAGCCGTTGCAGATGCTGCTCTCCCGTGCCAGCAGATCTTGGAGGCCTGGAAATTGACACCAACACCAACACAGGGGGTTGCCTCCACATAGGGAAGATGATCCTAGATTTCGGTGCTGGTGGTAATATTTCGGCCACCCTGGAAGCCAGAATATTACCACCATCACCGAGATCGGGATCGTTTTTTTTTGTTTTTTTTGTTTACCCCGCCTCTCCCAAAGCTACGCCAGCCTCCTCTGAAGTGTTTGCCCCCGCGCTGCCCTGAGGGCGGCACGACCGCGTTACACGGCCTCGAAGCACCACCAACGAGGCACCTGGCCAAAATGGTACGGAGCAGAGCGCACGCCTCCGAGCGAGACAAACTTAGCTAAGATCAGGCCACTGTGCGGCGGACGGGTGGGCAGGAACAAGAGGGGCTATGCTATGCAGGGGCTACGCTCACCGAGATCGGGACCTTGCTTCCCTCGGTGGAGGCACAGCGCCGAAATTGGTGTTGGTGTCAACCTCTTAGGCCTGCGAAGCTCTCCCGCCCCCTCCCGCTCGCTGCCCCTGCTCGTGCACACGGAGCCCGCAGGCAGCCACGGGCCGTTGGGCAGAGCACGAGGCGCCCACGCGGCGCCCGCCGGGCGGGGCCCCGGCGGCCCCGGGCACCCCGTCGAAGAGATGCGCGAGGGCCTCGCAGTCAGGGGGGCACGTGCGAACCCCAGCCCCTGCCCCCCACGATTTCGGAGGGGGAGGGTGGGGTTCACCTCGTTCGGGAGCTCCCGAGCGGAGTGAACCCCAGCCTCCCCCTCAGAAACCGTGGGGGGCAGGGGTAGGGTCCATGGCCCGTGCGCTTGGCGGTTCCGTGCGCGCCTGTCTCGCAGGGTGAGCCGAGCTGCTCCTCGACGATCCTCGCCGGGGGAGAGGGCACAGGTCCGAGCGATGCCAGGAGCACGACTGCCCGATGCCGCGGCCAAGGGGTTCAGGGAGACACAACTCCCAGACTCCCACTACTTGTTTACACATGTTCTGGATTTTCCTGACTCCCGCATCCATGTCCCAAACCAATTTTCCTGGAAATCAGCGTTGATTTGCATCTGCTTGCTTTTCCCTCCGGATCTTTCAAACAGGCAGGAAGCTGAGGCCGAGCCTCGATTCGGGGACGTACCGACCCGCGTCAATGCAAACCCGGGCCAGTCAGGCCCTGCAGGATCCTGCAGGAGCCTGCGCCCAAGCCCCGGTCAGTGCGCCCCTGGCCCTGCAGGATCATGCAGGATCGGGCGCCCTGGCTGACCCCCCCTTGCACTGGCCCCCGTTTCTTAGGCCCCGATCTATCCACAGTCATCAACGAGCCCCGGCACCGTGCGGGAGGTTGCCCGCGACCCGCGCCGCCCGGGCGAGACCCGCCGCCCCGGCATCCGAGGTCGGAGGGTGAGATTGGCCAGAAGGCAGAGCGGGGGAGCAGCAGGGGAGGGAGGGAGGGGGAGGGGGCGCCAGGGGAGAAAGGGGGGGGGGGGGGGGGGGGCAGGAAGACGAGGGCGCAGAGGGGGGACAGGGAGATCATGGGAGGGAGGCGGAAGGCGAGGGGGTGGTGATATTGGCTAAGAGGAAGGGATGAACAGGAGGATTGAGCAGGGACCGACCGTCCCGGCATTCCTATAGTCATACCACGAAGTGTTCTAAGTTTCCAAACATGTTCTGATAACAAGCACAATGTTCTTAGAACATAAACCCGATGCGTTAGAACAAAACAGTCCCAGCCAGAAATGTTCTAAGAGCAAAAGGTTATTAGAACATTGTTTGGTAGGGCTACAGGCGAGCCAGGACGCTTCGCCACTGCTTGATAAGAGGAAGGGATGCACAGGAGGAGCAGCAAGGGACCTCGTTCCACGCGAGGGCGCCGCGCCACTGCCGGCGGCCCGCGCCGGGCGGCGGCGGCCGCTGCGGCTCACATGAAGTCATCCTCCAGCTCCCGGCACTCCTGCCGCGGTCGTCGT